TTGCTACCTCTCTTCGTCAATCTGTGAACTCTTCAGCACTTCGTTATCTTGACTTATCAGTTAATGAGAATCTCGCCATTGATAATCTTCGATGGCTATCCCACCTTTCTTCCTTGGAATATCTCATCCTTGATAGCATTGATCTGCATAAGGAAACTAATTGGCTTCAATTAGTGACTATGCTTCCATCACTTACAGAGTTGTACCTGAGTCATTGTCAACTTAAAGACTTGAGTCCGTCTCTTGAATATGCTAATTTTACTTCACTTCAAGGTCTTTATCTTTCCTATAATGAATTTGACTCAGAGTTACCTAAATGGTTATTCAATCTTTCTAGTGGCATCGCTTATATTAAATTTTATGATAATTCTTTAAAAGGCCAACTACCGAAGGCATTGCCAAATCTTCGATATCTGAAATACTTGAATTTGGCATTCAATAACTTCAATGGACCAATTCCAGATTGGCTAGGACAACTTGAACTTTTACAAGGGCTTTATCTTACAGCAAACAAGTTTTCTGGATCTATTCCCACAAATTTGGGAAATCTGTCATCCTTAATAGCCTTGTATGTCGGCAGCAATAATTTGACCGGGGTTGTGTCCCAGAGAAATTTTGCAAAATTATCAAAGTTGGAGTATTTGAATATATGCCTATCACCACCGCTAATCTTTGATTTTGATCCCAATTGGGTTCCTCCTTTTCAACTTGACTACATATGCTTAGCATTTGGTGGTTCAAAACCTCCTGCATGGCTATACACACAAAGATCGCTTGATTTTCTAACTATTTTTAACTCATCATTTGAGGCTCATGATGAGTTTTGGAATTTTGCATCAATGATGAACGTCCAGCTAGCTTTAAATGATAACTCAATAGATGGGGACATATCAAATGTGGTGTTGAACGCTACACTCATAGTTCTGTCAAACAATAATTTGAAAGGTGGTTTGCCTCGACTATCATCAAATGTGGCCTTTATTGATTTATCAAAAAACCTATTGTCAGGAACCATATCTCCCCTTTTGTGTGATCATAAGATGCTGAATGGGAAAAGCAATTTGTTATATTTGGATATCTCTCACAATCATCTATCTGGAGGGCTTACAAATTGTTGGAAGAACTGGAAGTCATTAGTTCATATTAACTTGGGAAGCAATATTTTAACAGGTGAGATACCCCCATCAATGGGCTTGTTATCTAATCTTATAGCCTTACATCTGCATGAGAATGAGCTATATGGTGAGATAACTCCCATGTTGCGGAATTGCCCTCTTCGGGTCTTTAATGTTCGTGAAAATAATCTTTCAGGATATATTCCTAATTGGATAGCAAAGAGTGCAAAGGCTCTCCAACTAAGGTCCAATCAATTCAGTGGTAACATTCCACCACGAATATGCCAAATGTCTTCCATCATTATTTTGGATATTGGAGATAATAGAATCTCAGGACATATACCCAATTGCCTAAATAATATCACATCTTTAGTTTTCAACAATGCTTCTATTAGTACGCTTACTTTTTACTTTGATCTCGGTGATGTTTATTACTACTCGGTAGAGAGTCTTGAGCTTTTTACCAAGGGTCAAGTATCAGAATACAAACAAACCCTGCACTTTATGACCTTAGTTGATCTTTCCGGCAATGATATATCTGGAACAATACCTCCACAACTGTTTAGCCTCATTGGATTGCATTCCTTGAACTTGTCTTTCAATAAATTAGAGGGAAGAATACCAGAAGAGATTGGCAACATGAAAAACTTGGAGTCCCTTGATTTATCAACAAACCAACTTTGGGGTGAAATTCCTCAGAGCATGTCCTATCTGTCCTTTCTCGGTGTCTTAAACCTGTCATTCAACAATCTCACGGGCAAAATACCATCAGGCACACAACTTCAGGGGTTTGCTGAACTCAGCTACATAGGAAATCGTGATCTTTGTGGACTACCACTCAAAAAAATCTGCTCGCAGGATGGTCAATCAAAAGACACAAAGCCAACGAATGAAGATGAGGATGAATCTGAATTTTTGTCATGGTTATACATTGGTATAGAATGTGGATTTGCCGTGGGCTTTTTGGGATTCTGCTGTTGCATTTTCTTAAATAGGAAATGGAGACACGCTTACTTCAAATTCCTTTATGGCTTAAAAGATCGACTTTGTCGTGGTTGTCATCAATGTTAACTCTTTTCGGATGAGATTGAACAAGTGCATGCATAGCCTAGTAGTAAGTATAACCTTTCTATCGTGATTTTCATTTGAGTTGTTATACTAAATAAGTTTCTCTTTCCATCTGATATGTTTTATATTTTTCATTACTAGTCTTATGCATTACCTATACTATTCTGGTTAAGTATCATTATATTTTATATACATAGTTATTTATTATTATCTATCACTATCATATCAACAGTGTAACTCTTGAAACAAACCTATGCGTAGTATAACGAGATTCACTCTTGGATAATTTCTATAATAGAACTGTACTATCATATCAACAATATAACTTTTGAAACAAACCTATGCGCATTATAATGAGATTCACTGCTGGATAATTTCTATAATAGAACTGTATTAAACTAAATTTATATTATGCTAAGTTATTAAAGATTAAAGATAGTTCTAAGAATATTTAAACTCATACAAAATGATCTTTGAGGTACTATAACATTCCATAATTAGAATTCTTTATCTTCCAATGAGACTACAATATTTTCTTTTTAATTCGATAAGAAGAGAATGAAAAACTGTCTAATATGATGTATTAAAAACCATGACTACACTTCTATTTTTAATCTTATTAGGACTTTTATTATTTTCTAAAGGACTTAAATCTTATTTTCACTTATTAAATTTATATTACTTTTTATTATTGATCTAAAACTCACTAAAATTAAATCACTTATATTAGTTCATGTAGATGTAAAAACTTGTATAAATATTATAAATAATATGTAATTTATCTTATATAATTAAAAATATAAAATTTCTTCAGAAAAAAAAACATAAAATTTCTACCATTCACATGTTCAATAAATCCATATATTGTAATTATTCCTCTGCTAGAAAGCTGTTCCTCTGCGACCATACTCCACATTCAGAGGGTAACTTACCTACAAATTAGTTCGTTCATCCAATTATTTGAGTTCAGGGGATTGTTCTGAGCATTCTTGTGGTCTACAAAAGCTGGTTGTTATAACCATTACGTTTACATCCTGCACTCTCTCTTTTGTTTGTTTCTTGATCAATTATGGAACTTGAAGTAACTATAACCAGATGCAATAGTATTATATTGGACAAACTTGCTTAATTGAGTTCAGCGAAAAGAGATCAAAATGCCATTATAAAAGCTAAATAACTGCTAAAGGTTTTTCTGACATAATATTTGAAGTTCCAAACGAATATTGTGATTATTTACCCTTGCAATTATTATTCAATTTACTTAATTTGCAGGTACTTTTGGTGTGTATCCTTCAACAAGCTAGTCGAGTTTCAAATCTACCTACCAGGCTGTAAAAAAGTGATGCCACTGAAGCCTTTACTTATTAATTATGGATTTTAAGGTCCTGGATGTTATTTCTTATATAAATGTATGGTATCAGACATGTTTCTTATCGTTATTTATGTCCAGTAAAAACTAGATAACAATTATGCAAGTGTCAAAATAATAGGAATTATCTCTCTCTCTTGTTTTCTTTTTTTTTTTTTTAATTTCAATTTTCTTCCACCTGTTTATAAAAGTTGTTTGGCAAATGATGATGATTTAATGCTAAGCTCAAAATCAAAATGGCACGCAACCTTTTGTGAACAAAAACAGAAATATGCAACTAAACTTCCAACTTTGTTTCGTTCCTTCTCAAACAATAATAAAATGAATTATTTCTTTTTTATTTCCTTTAAAGTCAGGAATGGTCTCTCAAAATGAAGCTTTGGAGATCTTTACCAACTGGGGTTTCTATTGTTATCATTTTTTTCAAATCATCTTAGACAATATTTTTGGTAAATGCATCGCCAAATTACGTAAAAGACCAGTTGGTAAAGACATGGCAATGCATATAATTCGAGTGGTGCATGTTGAAAAGGGTTTCCATTAGCTTCTAGCTACTCCACTTTATATTAAATTTTATATTTTTAAAATAAATTTATTATATATAAATATTCATTGTGTTTTGATTAGTTATATCAAAGTGTGAAGTGCCAGATGATACAATCATTGATGTTGAAGTACAAGTTCGTGCTAAAATGTTTTGTTCAAGTCTTTTCTTTGATTACTAATACTTGCGTTATTTTTTACTCAAATGAGGGTGGCATATTTTCTGTGTCATATAATAGAGTGAAAACTCCATCATCTTTACAGCATATTCTATTCTTGCATGATGCATCACCATCGTCCAAAATTATCTGTTACACTTTTGATGAAGTGGTAATGGTTTAGAATATTATACACAAAATTTAGTTAAATATTTCTTTAATGTTATATTTATATATAGTTTATATTATAAATTATAAATAATTTATTTTAATGAATTACAATAAATATTTATTAAAATCATAAGAAAAAAACATAAATTATTTCTATAAAATTCTAATTATTTATTAATTTTAAATTCTAATTCTTGAATATATAATTGTGTTCAATATTTAAAAGAAAATTTTGATTTTTATAATAATCTTATTCAATTTAAGTAAAATTATTTTTGTTTAAGATATCTAAAGGTATAAACTAAAAAGCTATTAATTAAATTGCATAAACAAAATACAAAATTATATTGATATTTTAAAAGATTAATTTAAGAATTTATTAAAAAGATATCACAAAGAATTAATATTTCACAATCATCAAACAATAACAATCATGTAGGGAGTTCCTTCCACCAAGTCGCATCTAAAAAGGGATAATTCAATTATCATCATCACTTTCAAATCCATTTTCTGTTCCAAGTTTGGAACACTGAATTACATAACAGAGACAAGCAAGTAAAACAGAAAACAAACACAGCAATGCCTCTGATTGTGAAGAACAACAGCAATGCCCCCTCTTCTGTTCCTAAACTCTTCCTCTTGTTCACCCTCTTCTCCATTCTCTCCCTTGTTTTCTTCTTCTTCACCACTTCCACTTCCACAACTACCACAATCTCACACTTTTCTTCTCTCTCTCTTCAATCTTCCACCATCAATGTCTACGTCGCCGACCTTCCCAGATCCCTCAACTACGGCCTCCTCGACCGATACTGGTCCTTCGACTCCGATTCACGACTCGGCAGCGACTCGGATCGCCAGATTCGATCTTCCCTATTGGGGGCCAAAACCCTAGAATTTCCACCGTTTCCCGAGAACCCATTGATCAAACAGTACAGCGCGGAGTACTGGATCATGGGGGACCTGATGACCCCTCCCCAACAGCGAATTGGCTCATTCGCAAAACGTGTTTTTGACGCGCGTGATGCCGACGTGGTCTTCGTTCCATTCTTCGCCACTCTCAGTGCGGAAATGCAACTGGGTATGGCCAAAGGGGTCTTCAGGAAGAAGGCTGGGAACGAGGATTATCAGAGGCAGAGGGCGGTCATGGACTCTCTCATGAAAACCCAAGCTTGGAAGCGTTCTGGTGGACGAGATCACGTGTTTGTGCTCACTGGTATGTTCATTGTTATTGTTAAGGTTGTAATTAGGATTTTTTAGTGTAGAGTGTGAGAAATGTGGTTTAATCATTCTATTGTAACGAGAGCTCTCTGTTTATTTAAATCCTGTTGCTTAGTATTTGCATGTGATGAGTATGAATTAGAAAGGAAGTAAGGGTTTAAGGAAAGAATGTTGAAGGTGTTGAGTTGATTGCACTTTGTCTTTGCTGGATTAAAGGTTTTGTTGAGTTAATGCATTTGGGTTGCAATGGATGTGCGAACCAAACAGAATGAAGCATTATTTTCTGTTTTATGTGGTTCCTACTCTTCATCTCATGTCCTGCTATGCTCTAGTTTGAAAATGAACCAAACAGAATAGAACATGTTATGTTTCGTTCCATTTTAACTTGCCTGCTTAATACCACCTTTAAGATGGGGAGTTTGATCTGCATATATAGGTAGAGGTAATGCATATGTATTTGCTTTTGATGCTTGACTGTCTTGCTGCGTGCCTTAAAAATTTGTTTATGTTGCCTGTGATGGCGTTGGCAACAACAGAATGATGTAATGCATATATAGAAATGCAAAAGGTGAAAATTCTGTAGTGTGCTGTTTCCAGCTTATGATTTAGTCTTTGAATTGTCAGGTTATTAAAAGTTAAAACTGAAGCATTCTTTGGCAGACCCAGTCGCAATGTGGCATGTTAAAGATGAGATTGCCCCAGCTATTCTCCTTGTTGTGGACTTTGGCGGTTGGTACAGAATTGACTCGAAATCTTCCAACTGTAGCTCAACTGATATGATTCAACACACCAAGGTTTCTGTACTCAAAGATGTGATTGTGCCATACACACATCTACTTCCCAGGTTGCACTTGTCAGAAAACAAGGAGCGCCACAACCTTCTTTATTTTAAAGGAGCTAAACATAGGCACCGGGTTAGTGTTGTTTCTTTTGGACAAGCTGTGCTACTTTTTTTGTTACACTTTTTGAACTGTATTCTAGCATCTTACAAGACTTATGATTGGATAATTTGACTACTCAGTAGTTTTAGGTGATCAGATTCGTTGAGCAGCTGTTGCTATTTTTGTCTCGTTGTTATTGTTCTTTGTGGATTTTTCACATTAAAAAAAAGGTCTGTTATCAGCTAAATTTAGTTATATGGGCTGTGGCAATATCATCATCTTTCAAATAACATGCTTTATTTAGGTGTAATCTCAAGCAGATGCAAGTGTATCTCTCTAATTTAAGAAGGAAAAAAAAATAAAGAAAGAACAATTGCATTGGCTGCATGTATTCTATGTGAGGTACTGTTTTTGGAGGAAAAATGATCTTCCTCCTTTCTTTCTCTGATTATAAGACTTAAGAGCCCAAACAGCCCAAGGTCATTGAAGGTTGATGTTAGTGAAAATAGAAGACAGAATTAATAGGCAGTTATGTATTATACATGTATAAGGCAGTTATGCAATAGACAGTTATGCTTTATGGTGTGGGCAGTTACTGCATTTAGTTTTAGGGGGTCTGTTAATTTAGATGAATTTAGACAGAATATGGCTTGGCTGTAAAGGAGATTCCTTGTTGGGGTAAACCCTGTGAAATTGATGTGTTCTTTAACCTGGCCTATTAGTCAAATTATTTCAGTATTATTCAAATACATGTGTGTGTTCATCTCAAGTCCAGCAAAGACACCCCCATGTGTTATGCATGCCTTGTTGTATAATTAATCAACTTATTGTTAATTTGACATTCGTAAGTTCTGGCACTGTATTTTTTTCATGACTATTTATTGACATTTTGATTCACTGAAAAATCTGTATTTATTGAATGATTTTCCCTTTGGGAACTGTCAAATATTTAAAAACCTATGAGAATTCATCTCAGATGTTTACTAATGCTTTAAGAACCTTAAATTTTTAAGGATTGAAAATTTACTTAATAAAAATGTCCAATTTTATAATCAAATTTAATTTAGTTCATCCCCATCTTCATGTTGAAGAGTGGACTGACAGGTTTAAATGTTATGAAAAGCTTAATAGCATAAAGTTGATGGTAAATATTTGACATCCTTGGAGGTGAGTTTCCTGCTCTTGTGGTCAAATGAGATTTAAGCTAATCCATTCCTGCTCAACGAAGCACTGGAAAATCAATTCCACTTTGTGATTTATTATAAATAGATGCTGATAAATTATTTGTATACTCAATACTCATCCAGCAGATGTATGATTATGCTGGTCTTCGTAGTTGTGAAAAAGCTAATGCAATATTTGTTCCACGCTTATCTCATTGACAAATTATTCAATTTACAGGGTGGCCTCGTTAGAGAGAAGTTATGGGACCTATTGATTAATGAGCCTGGTGTAATAATGGAGGAAGGCTTCCCTAATGCAACAGGACGAGAGCAATCAATAAAAGGGATGAGAACATCAGAATTTTGCCTACATCCAGCTGGGGATACACCCACTTCATGCCGACTTTTTGATGCCATTCAAAGTCTTTGTATACCTGTTATTGTCAGTGACAACATTGAGCTTCCATTTGAAGGTATGGTGGATTATTCAGAATTTTCCATTTTTGTGGCCGTGGATGATGCACTGAAACCTGGCTGGCTAGTCAGTCATCTCCAAAGCTTTTCAAAAGTGAAGAGAGACAGGTTCCGCCAAAATATGGCTCAGGTACAGCCCATCTTTGTATATGATAATGGTCATTCAGGTGGTATTGGACCAATACCTTCAGATGGTGCAGTGAATCATATATGGAAGAAAGTTCACCAAAAATTACCAATGATAAAAGAAGCCATAATTCGAGAGAAAAGAAAGCCACCCGGTGTTTCAGTTCCACGGCGTTGTCATTGCACTTGAATTTAAGTAGTTCTTCCTGTTTCTCCTTCAAAGGAGCAGGGATACGAACGGGTTCATATCCAGTTCGATTTTGCACCAAAATGGCGATTTTCTTTTCGTTTTTTTTGGGGGTGGTGGTAAATCATTGGATAGTGGATATTTATGTGAATTGTATAGGAAAAGTGTTGCCACTGACCGTGAGTTCGTTGTACCTCAATTGATGTGTTTCCGTATTTGTATTGGAGTCTGAAACTACATGACAGTGAAATATTGGTCTACAATTGTTACTGTTACTATTGGAGTTGCCAATTTGCTCTAAAAAAGTTTTCACTGCGACTGAAGTGTTAGATGTAATGTATCAAATGATCGGTGGACTTCGTGTTTGTGTACGTAGTTATTTTTCCCCACGTTTTTTGGGATAATGTACGATGATTTATGAAACTAAACAGACAAGCTGGTTACAAAGATGCAAATAAACTTGAGCACTGCAATCAAAATACAATGAAAACTTTATCTAGCCTCTTCTCAGCTGGAACTTAAATAAATGGTCGGTAAATAGTAATATAACATTAACGTGGCTTTAAAGTTTTCATGTAACCATAAACCTCAACCCCGTAATAGACTATTTCCAATAGATGAGAATGTGTTGATTAGTCAGTGATTAAATAATGATACATGTTCCTAACAAATCTCTGATTAAAGAGGTGAAAGTCAAGTGTCTTAACTTCTCATGGTCTATCTAGGAAAACCGTTTCAATGTCTGGAGTACATGGGGTTTGGCTGCAGCAAGAAAGGATAGCCAATCCCTCTTCTCTTTGATGGACACACTACAAAAATGATGCTCACCACAAAACCAACCACAAGGGGAACAGTGTTTGTCACCTTTCTGGGCATTACTGGATAATAACATTTTACAACATCATAGTGTAATCCTGCAAAAGCAAGAAAAGAGAGGAGGGAGAGTGATGCATGGAAAAGATCAGCCCATGTCAACCTGTAATCTGATGGCACACATGGTTTCTTCCTGCCTCCATAGAAAGTCCATATCCCTCTGAATGTTGCCACCCCATAATACAATCTTCCAGTAGCTGTTCTGAAGCTGTCAGTGAAGGTGAAGAAGACACAAGACACTGCCAAAATAGCTAGAAAGATGCCCATCAACCAGCGATTCAGCGCATTGCATTCACCATCATTTGTTAATATAGGTGCGAAAATGGTGAAGGCAAGGGTGGTGACTGTAGGTAAGAGAACATTGAGCCTAGCAGTGCCACTCAGTATTGCATTGATAACATAGAAGTAGTAAGATTCATCCATGTCATAATCATCAAGATCATAGTAATCATCCTCATTCTGATCATAGTGAATAACCATGTCTTGGCTGGTTGAGTTGTTCATTTCTAAAAATCAGCTATCAGAATTCCAAAAAATGAAGCTCAGGAGATATGAAGATAGGAAATTTAGAACTGTCCTAAAGTGCACATGTAACAAGGACATGTTCAATATTGTAAGTAAAGGAAACATGCTATTATATGTGCCTTCCTTTGGAATGAAAATTCTTGTAGGAATATGCTTTTCCTTTTCTATAGCAACTTTCGGCCGGAATTTGCTTTCAACTTCGGCAATGTTTATGCTCGTGCATGACTCTGCTTATAACAGCATACAGACTTGTTTGGAGGGACATTTGAACTGAGATAATGCCATTTGTACAATTGTGTGCTAAAATAGATAAATTTTGTGAAGAGCACTTTGCTTGGCATTTTATTCAAATCTTTTTTAAAAAAATTAATAAAATACTTTTAAAGGCATTATTAATTTTAATTTTTAATTTAATATATTTTAGTTACCACGGAGCTCCAAATAATTTGAAACTTCAAACGTAATAATTTCACAAGGAAATAACGTGCTAAAGATTTATGATATCTTAAAAATAAATTACTTGATTGAAATATGTTTAATGTTTTGAACAAGTTAATAAATTAAATTATAGAATTTTGGTCAAAAAATTAATTAGCCTAAACTAATGTAATTTCTATTATCGATTTCAAGCCTGACCAAAAAAATAAAAAACACCAAGAAATGACTTGCTTAAATGGCTAAAATTTGACCCAAAAAATTAATGTCAAATTAAAAAAAAAAATTAAAACTAAAACGAAACGTCTCAACAAAATAATTAAGAATTAAGCAAAAGACTTAATGTAAAGATTACTAGTATAAATTATGAACATAAGTTTTCTTTTTTAATTTGATATATCATTTTAAAGTTCATGTAGATAAAATATCTAAAAGATATTAATCTATCTGTTTTTACTTCAGCCTTCATTATTAATTTTAAATTTTAAATTCTTCTAAAATAAGTCCACCTTTAAAAAGAATTGAAACATTTCAGCTACTAATTAATCATTCTTACTTTAGAACAGTTATATCTATTATCTTTAGTGCGTAGTTCAATTGATCTAATTAGATTCTTCGAAGTTAGAGTTGACAATAACATGTTACATGCCACCAAAGAATTCAATCATTCCATGAACCCAATAACTAGTTGTGATTTAACTTCAACCAAAATAATATAATTAAAAAAGGTGTTTCATTGCTTAATAAATCTCTTTATTGATTTATTAAATCATAAGAAAAAATATATATATTGAACTGAAGTTCTCCTAGACCCTGTTAGAATATCCAGTTCCAACCAACTTTATGATTGCAGCTGCTCCCAGTTGAGAAGGCTTCAATCTAAATCAACTTTTAAAAGAAAAAGCAAAAAAGATCTAGAATTTTATATATCAGTTGACAAACTTGTTAATCTTAACTAAATTAGTTTTCTTCATCACTTTATCCCATATCATTCGAATGTAATCCCTCACATATTCCTGTCAAATTCTAACTTATTCTATTTTACCAAACGTAACACTACTGGTTTAAAGAAATAGTAATGACAAGCTGATAAAAATAAATTAGCAATTTAAAGCACAAAGAAAGAAGAGATAAAGACGGGAGGAGCACATGGGCAAGCTAGCAACTGTACTTTTCATTGATTAAATAAACCTTTACATTTTACCTTAGGCTTTACAAAAATTTACTCATCTCATGCTGTGGACAGGATGGTCCTATAAATGACAGCATCCCTAGAAATTCGCTAAAAATCGCAGAATAGCAGGGCTAGGTTTATAAACAATATTGGCTGTCTATATACAGTGCTAACTAAATGCATTAAATTCTCAATTTGTATAAAATTTTTGAGAAATTAAAGTGAAAGATTTGAGCAGAGAAACCATTTGGCACTCTTTTGCTAGGGCTTTTGTTGGGAAGGGTCATCTTCCCCGGAGCAACAAAGTTTGCAAGGATTGGAGGATTTCTGAGAACACCAGTGATCTGGAACACTCAAAAAGTATGTAGACAAAAACTTTCTGAACCTCTTTTTGTATTCTTTGGGAGAGATTACAGTTGGCAACACATTCTTGGGCACAACAAGGGAAGACTTCATCCATGTCTCAAGATGCTTGTCCCAGGTGTACTGCCTGAGATAATCAATGATCCCGCAGACAAGCTGGCGCTTCTGAGAATCTACTCCAACAAGCAAGGAATAATCCATCACATTGATTGACTGCATATTGAGCAAACAATTAAATGAACTTATTATAAGATGGCAAGGAAATGAAGTCCAAAACGAGGAAATTTGAGAAAACTATGAACACAAGGGCAACAATTGCTTATAGATAATTTGGGACACCAGTTATGGATTAAGGGTGTAATCGGTAGGGTGAAAATGGGAGGAATGGAAGGGAAATGTTTTGAGAATCTCCCATGATTTGAAAAATAGATCAATTACAAATACATTGCCAATTTTATTTTTAGTCCCTTCTTTATATTCCTTCTTTTTCATCCTCCCACGTAGAATTTGTTCCAAAATTCAAGGCCAATGGTGAGGAAAAAACAATAAATTAAAAGTTAGGCTCATAGGAAGAATGCTTGCAGTGCAGCAGACTTACATTAAGAAAAGATGTGTCATTCCAAACAGCCCGCTGAAGAACACGCTTTGTTTTATGACTGACGTATAATGGGGAAGAGTTCATGTCATTTACAAAGTTCTGATCCAAAAGAACATCTCCAGCACCATCAGCAGCAGAATTGTATCGGGCATAAAGAGCACCTTTGAGATCATACTGGCGAGTAATATTTCGATTGTAGGTAAGATTTTCCATAACCATGAGGTCATATTTAACCTCTTTTCCATTTTTGACGTGTCTTTTAGTAACCTGCATAGAGAGATAGAAATGCTTAAAATTCTAAACAACCAAAGCTTAAAATTCTATGAAAAAAGAAAATAAAACAGGTGATAAAGTTGGCAAATGGAAAAGAAAATGACATGTACACCAACCTGATATATCCCCAACACTTTTGCAAGACATGTTTGGCTTCCAGACTCAAATGACTCTCGCATGTGTTTGAAATACAGAGAAGAAAACCCCAAAAATGAATCAAGTTCTGTCTTCTTGATTTCCTTTATGATGAATCTGTCATCAAGTGTTTTCGCAAAAAAAGACTTGCTTTTTCCACCTTTGGCATCCCAATTCCTACAGCGGCTCAAAGAGGCAATAAAATCAAGCTCAGATGGGCAACACCAATTCCTAAGTTCACGGAACTGCTTAAAATTATGACAAATAACTGAATATTTTTCCCTCCCAAGTGATTTTGCATAACCCATTGCAATCTCCATGCTATGGCTTTCTGTAGCACGAGAAGATCGTGACTCTTCTGAAGAAGTGCTTCCTGTAGAATGCACAGAATCTGCATCTGACAAACTTCTTGAAAATGAGTGTGAAGTTAAGGTAGCACCATGGGTCAACCCATGCAGCAAACTTTCAGTTGAGATTGAATCTACTCCACTCCCATTTCTATCATCCTCATCATCAACTTCTTTCACCTCAGATGCATCTTTCAGAAAGGCCAAAGCACAAGCAATTATGCTTGAGGGTTCACTCTCAAAGTCAGACACGATATGATTATCAGTCTTGAGAGGGATGTGCAACCTTGTACCTTCCTCAGTAATTATTTGACTGGCCGTGGGTAGATATGCTGTAATGGAGCTGTTTACAGATTCAAATTTTGGCAAGATTTTTTTCTGGAATTCCCTTATGCCTATCTGCCGAATGTCAGCAAATGACTTCCAATACCAATCATTTGAATCCTGCAAGTTGGAAACTGGTGAATGTGGGGAAACACTCTTGTTCAATACCTTTAAATCAGCATGCAAAGGACTAGTTTGAACATCTGCCGAAACTGGAGAGTTCACATGTACTCCAAGATGATTAGGTGTAACAAAATCCTTTTCCTGGAGATTACCATTCGCTGGAGGGAACCAAGTGGAAACATCCAAACTCAATTTCAACTTTTGGTCAGAAGATCTCATTGATCTCAAATGATCATTAGTTTCCATATTCACATTCTGTGGGTCATCTGACATGTTAGATGGATCATCCTGTCCATTCACTTCATTGCACTCTAGAAGAGGTCCACTAATAGGAATTTCCTTTATTGGTAGTTCATTTACTTCTACAGGCGTGTCTAACATATTTTTTATATTAGCACCCCCATCTTCCATAAACCCAGTTTCTTTACTAGCAGTACACTCCACTTTTGGATAATTAGGTTCGTGCATGACTTTCTCAGATACATCACATTCAAGTCTTAAACGATCAGGTGAGTGTAATGAGTATAATCGTCGATCCCACACACAGGATTCAATCAAAAGATCCCACATCAATCGGTTCAGACTAAGAAATTTGTAAGCAGCCTGGTCTGGATCTCCTTTCTTATCAACAGCCACAGCAATCTTGATGTTTGCCTGTTATCATGACATACTAAGTCAAGGGAAGAGGGCACCATACAAAATCACAGTATGCAAATCTTTCAGTAAGAGGAAAAACTTGAAATCAAAAGAAATGAAAATCCAAAACTAATGGATCACTAGCTACAAATTAATTCTTTATGCATTGTATGTTATATTAAAGTAGCATTTGGTACAGAGAATGTTTTAAGTTTTAACATTCCTAAAAAAGTGACATGAGAATAAATGTTTCCCATGTATAAAAGATTCTTTTGAATGTTAACTTGTGAATAGATAGGAACAAAATTTCCCACTTCATAGGTGGGAATAAAACATTCATTTGGTAATTCACTGTAAAGTTACTAAACTTTTCCAAGTTAATTGATTGTAAATATATTATTCTAAGAAAAATTGTGTGAAGACCAAACATCTTGTATAAAATTTCCCCAGGAATCCTATTCCCTGAAATGATATTCCCAGGAAAGAGGTTTAACTGGGAATGAAAGATTCTGTATACCAAACACTGCCTAAATTAAGTCTTGCATAGGCAATGAAAAATCCAATTACAGCTTTAGTAAAAGCAATGTCAAATTTTAAACTTAAAATATAGTACTACCACTATCACAGACTTTGTCACTTTCAACTTTTAGGGCATATCATATTAAACAAATATGAATCCAAATTTAATGATTACATAGCTAGAAAAGAGAGATTTGGGGCTTACAACTTTTAGAAGCACATTCGAATTAGTATTTAAGTTGATTCCATGTCACAAGAAATGTCTAAATCATGTAGAAACAGAAAGCTAACCTCAAACTCTTCTCGCTCATGCTTCAACATCTGGTCGACCTCAGGAAAATCTCTCAGTGATCCTCCAAGGTCATCAAATTGTATTGTCTTCAAACAGTTTGCAACTTCTGTGAAAAATGATATGCCTTTCATATACACCTTAAAACATAGAAAAGAGAAGGTAATTTTAATGGAGGAAATGTGTGAGAATTGAGAACAAAACTATGCCCAACTAATTTATATTATATTTCAGCCAATACAAATCAAAGAAATATCTATATGAAAGTAGTAGCCTCATAGGGAGCATACATTCTCAATCTCTTTCGAAAGATATTCTTGTCTTATTGAACCACTGAACTCCAGCTTTCGAGGAGGCATAGACACGGTATATGTGGTGACAGAAGAATATCTGAACATTGCAATCATATGACCTAATCTGCATGATAGGGAAAGATACAATAAAACCTGACATCAATACTCAATGACATGTAAGGTTAACATACTGCCAACCCTCCTTAAGTTATTAAGCCACAAGAAATGGACTCTAGAGAGAGCAAAATAAGTAAATAATCAGCAAGGCACAGCACATGCCTAAATCTTAAAAGTACTTTCATTATTCGTAGTGCTTCAAATTTGTAACAGTGCAAAAAGAAATCAGCTAAATCTTAGGCAAGAGCCTAATTTACAATCAATAGAATTTAGAAGTGAAGGTAGACATGCTAATAAACAATACATATGATATTAAATATAAAAAAATATTTCTCTAAATCAAGTATTGAACATGTAGAACAACATGAATGTAAAATAAGGTTGCAGCAGATTATAGTATTAAAAAGGGATATGTAGATCATTTTACCCAAAGAAATAGAGAAAATCCCTATCAAGAGAATGGCCACAACTCAATTTTCTGCTAGAAGAATAGTGACTAAGGCTAAGCTCCAAAAACTTTCCAAATGACAGACTACGGGCAGTGGTAGATATCAGCACTCTCTTAGTAGAACCAGATTTGCATTTTCCACAACGGCTCCACATCCAAATTTTCCCTTCAGACTCCCCAGGCAAACATTTTTCCTGGGGAAGCTGTTTAACTTGTATAGTAAGCTGTTTATTGTGATGAGCATAATAATAAAAGTGAGCATCCGGCAATTCTTGGCAGGTAACACAAAGTCTTGTCTGAATATATAGCAACAACAATTAGTTAGAAATAAATCTAGTCCAACCTCATTTTGTAGAGAAAATACACACAAAATGATATTGCATTTAAAAACTTCACTCCAACATACTTTGGTAATTCTAATAATACATTCATCATATTAAGCTCTATATCTTATGCTTGTCATTAGTAAACTAAATAAAGTAATAAAGGAGAAGGGGAAAAAGCAAAGAAAACCTGATTGAGTAAGTTATCCTGCAGAAACTTCCCGAGTGGAACATCAAAGTTCTTGTAGAACATAATATGAGAAAAATGACTTTGCTGGCATACAGTTCCTCTTAAGGCATTCCGGCTAGACATCAAGACCAAAATACTCTGAGAATCCAACACTGCATTGATATCATCTTTACTTTCGATTTCTTTTCTATCATTATCACCATCTTTACTTATATCCCCATTGGAATCTAAGTACACAGGCAAAGACAGGGATTGTCCACCATTAACTAACTTCACTTCATTAAAATGGTTTTTATCTTCAATCAAGGTCTTTTCATCAGTCATCGGAGAGCCTAAAATAGAAATTGACTCATTAACCTGACCATCAGATTTTCTTCCACTGAAACCAAAATATGCTGATAAAGATTGATACGGAGCAGAAGATGCAAAAGGAAAACTGTCCCCCATGACTTTCTTCAAAGAAGATGAAATAGCTGAGAACCCAGAAAAGACAGCAGGATTATACGGTTCATGAGAAAATGGGGAAAGCTCCTCTGATTCTAAGTTCAAAGCTTTGGTGCTTTTTTCATGAAGTCCATTGCATATGGGAATATCAGTACTAACTATTCCATTTTCAGCAGAATACTCAAGAGATGAAATGCTTGAATTAATGGATGCTGATTCACAGGATTTTTTATTGGTTGGCAAGATATCTGTTACACTCGCACAAGGAATGGTAGAGAACATTGCTTTCTGATCAACAAGAAAGGAGGTTTCAAGAATTAAGTGATACGCCATGATAACTGCACACCGCACAACACATTTGATCCTCTTCAGTTCATCACTGTGCGATCCTTTCAGTAAAATCTGCAATTGCAGGCAATGCAGAAGTTACTAACATCCAAAACTCTAGATGAAAATTCATTTTCTGGAAGAAAGACCATTTACTATAACTCCATATTCATATCATGGCAAATAACGGCAGCAAAAACCAATAATACTTGACATCATACACCAACAGAAGCATGACGTAGAGAATAAATATCTTGTAGGAACAGTTTGGAAATAAAGGATTAATTAAATACTGCGCCAATAATAATTGAGCAAAAATTGTGAAAAAAATCATGAGTAACCAAGTCACAGTGAATACTCCTCAGGCATTATACGGATATATTGAAGCACACATTTATTGAAAAATGAGAACAAGATTAATTTTAAATGTTTAACAAACATGCTGCATACTATATAACAATCATACGATATGCAGTTTATTGGCTGTCAAAAACCAACTAGCACAAAAGCTTAAGGTTCATTTGGTTTGAGAAAAAGCTTCCTATTTTCAATTTATATGTTCACTTTTAAATACAAAAATGAGACATTATTTTCATTTTGTTTCTTATTTTTAAATATTTATATAAGAAACAGTAAAAATATTTTTTATAGTTTTCAATAAAATGAAAATAACAAACATTTTCTGTAATCAAAAACAGACCCTTAAGTTGTAAGGAGAAAGCACATGAACGGTTTTATATTAAAATCTAACTGGTCATAATATTAGGTCACTTGCAAATGTCAAATCATGTCAACTTCATGCTCTAAATGTCCAACTTTGGGTATGAGTGAGTGTTAAAATGTCCTATATTACCTAGAAAAATGACTAGAATACTCCTACTTAAGAAACTTAAGTTGTTAATGTTAAGTGAAGATACATGAACAATTTTGCATTATGTTGAGAATATCTCCTAATTATTAAGAAAAATAATTAAAAGATAATAACAATAAATAAGTACAGTAAATTGTATAGGAGATATTCTCAACATATTATATTTATAATTTAAAACATTGGATTTCAAAGTGAAAACCAGCATCAGAATACGTGTAAAAAAGTGTTAATTCATTATTTAATATGGATTTAAATACGTTACTAGTCTCTGAAAATATCATGCCTTTTGATTTAATCCCTATAAATATTTTATTTGCTTTTAGTCCCTAAAAATCCAAAAAAATTATGTGGTTTTAGTCCTTAATGACTGATGAGATTAAAATTACATGCTTTTTTTAAATATAGGAACTAAAACCAGAAACAATGATATTTTTAAGGACTAGTTGCTTATTTAAGCCTTTAATATATTGTCACATACACCTGTAAGTGCAGTACAGTATGCACATCTACATTGATACTTCATAATCAAAGCAAAGTAATGAGACTGTGTTTGAGTATCTATGAATGTGTGCTATCAAATGTATGCCAAGTAAAACATCCAAATTTGCAGATGTCAATAAAAACAGATACAATTTTTCTATGTCAAAGAAGAAAAATCCATCTCGGTATTTTGGAAGATTAAGAGTTAAAATGAATAAGAAAACAGAGATTCCAAGTTATGAGTAAAGCATACCGTACAGCCCAAACGTGTGGGACAGCCCTCAATGAACATTAAAGTTTTGATGGGCCGCTTTCCTCCTTCACCAGCACCATCATGTTCCTCCACAAACTTCTCAAAATAAATGAAGTCACAATGTCTTAGTTTTTGACCATTCAAATCATCACATGACAAAATTGGTGAACCAGTACAGCGTGCAACTCTTTCAAGACGATGAAGCTTCATATCAAGTACAAGTGTCATTCCCTTTGCCAAAATTGACTCTTGTATATCACGAGAAACAGTTTTTTCCGCCAATATAACATTTGGATGGCACATTTCTATACGATCCATTTTAGATTTCAGATCATCTTTCTCCTGTTGAAAAAGAAATATTCAGTTAGTAAATGATAATGTTAATAAGGACCGAATCCAATCTCATTAAGTTACCTGGTCCATGGAGTCAAATGAGGACAGCCCATTAATAGAATGGCCGAGCACACCGCTAATCAGTAACAATCTTGGATTTTTGTACTTAGTTGGCATATGCTTGTGGGCAGCATGTTTTTTGAAGACCAAACCTTTGATAAGTTGACTGCAACACAAAACATTTTCTTTAAGTTTTCCATTATGGCTCATAAAATTGCAAACTATTTTTTATATGCTCAACCTCCATTTAAAAGTTTATGAGACAGCAGAGACTCCTGTCAGCTTCAGAAAAGTAGGAAAGGAGTATCAAAATAAAACTTAAAGGAAATGTCAAACAGAAAAGATCAACAATAATTGAACTCTATATGTGGTTCAATAGAAAAATAAATATAAGTTCTTAAATAGCTTGAGAGGGGGGTGGGAAACCTTGATAATCACATAATGCAAAATGATTTCTCAAAAGCATAAACATAGTACCACAAAATCATTATGCATTTGCAATAAGAATTGTCTACACTAAAAAATGCCACCATGTGCCAGCCGGTTAGTAATGAGTACATACAAATGATTAATAGAAATACTCAAAAGCAAATTCTTGATTAACAAACTTTTTTTTACCTTTGGCTGCGGGAGCCAGCAGCAATGCACTTCACCTTAACATATCCATCAGGATTCATTGCATTACCTCCAATAGCATCAGGCTTCAAAAAATAAGCAGCTTCCCATGATAAAGATGCAACTACGTCCACCCAACTCTTATTACCTTCATCTGAAGAGCAAACTCCCACAGATTTAAGTAGCTGAGCAACAAGTGGCTTAAATTTCCCATTCATTACTTCTTCCATTGCCCTTTGTTTTTCCTCTTTGAACCTATAGCTTACACTTAATTCATCCTTAGAACTACTCATAGATGTTGGCTCCCCCCAGTTTGCAATCCCTATGCCCTGGTCTTCATCATCATCATTACAAGTCACACTATGATCCATATCATCCTGTGGGTTTTCTGGCTCAGGAGGTTCCCAAGTTTGGATATCCAAATCATCAGGAAGAGAATACTCCATTTCTTCAACAGAGGATGCAACAGGGTCTTCAGAACCATCAGCTTTTACTTCATGGAAGTTATGTCCTTGTGCAATCTCCACATCTCTAACTGTGTAACCCTCAGTGTAGTTATTGCTTTCTTGGGAATTGTTTTCCATCACTTTTTGAGAATCATTCAACTTATGATCAGGGTCTTCCATAACACCTTCAACTGCACTTTCTTCTTGACTATTCCTAATAGAAAAAACAAAGTAAGTATTTGAGCATAAATAAGTAAAACATTTTACTCACACCTCTGAGTGGACACAGCTAAGTACCTTTCAAATGAGTTCACATCAACTGAAAACTCACCTGAAAGATCATATATTAAAGAAAAACTGGGTTATATAAAGACCATTTTGTAACATAAAACTAACATTATCAACATTATAAAAATAAAGACAGAGGGATAGTAGTTTACTGCAAGTAGAGACACAGCTATCAGTACTTGACAGTGATGTAGTTGGACTGATATCTGGTGTCACATGTGGACTAGTACTATGCCATTTCACATTTTCTTGTTCTAGCGTCTCTCCACAATATTTGCAAGGCCTAGTGGAAACTTTACCATTCAACTTCAAACCACTCTCATTTCCGTGTTTCTTGCTGTCGATATTCGATCCTGTCAAGCCCTCACCACAATGATGGCACATACTACACATCCGATCCAACGCAGATCCAGAAACTATATTAAATAGAGGCCAGATATTGATCCCCTATTCTGGCATGTGCAAAAAGTATATTAGTACTGAATGAGTTTTGAAACTTTCTCTTTATTGAACTAATTCATAGAAATTCACCAAAAGTCAATATGATAAACCAAATCCTCAAGAAAAATATATAGACGCATAAATTCAATTTCAGTTCAATTGCTCCTCTATCTAAATTAATATTTATCAAACACTACATATTCAAATTAAAATGTGTACACAAACAAAAAAGCATAAACTACCTGAACAACAGCCAAAATTCACAATAGCACTCAATGTCAAACAGATATTCATTCTTCTATAATCAGAGAATCAAACAATGTCTTTGAGATCCTGTTTCATGGAGTGTAAAACGATTATAAAAAATTATAAATTATTGCCTATGCTAATTACTTTATTTTGTAGAAAACAATTTCGCACAGATAAAGGAAGAGGAAGCCTCTTGGTATAGTAAGAAGTGCTGCTTTTCATGGACTACAGAAAAAAGATAAATCAGATTAAGAAGTGCACCTAACACAGGAAAAACTGCCTTCTGCGAGGATTGATGCAAAACACAAGAAATACAGAACAATTTGCAGTAAGATGATTCAAATGAAGCTTGAGGGAAAGAAAGATCGGTTTCATGAAAAGGAAAATATTGTTAATCTAACAGAGCACAAAAGAATTACCAATTAAGGTGATATGTTGGTGATATTCATTTCCAAACCAAAGCCAATAACCTATACAAGATCAAGATAATTATTACCGCAGTACAAACAACTTAGAAGACCCAGATTCATTAGCCAAACAGAAACAAAAATACAAGACAATATAAAACTCAACCAAGGACTACAATTGCAGATTTGAAATGGGTTTCAATATTATCTTGGACAAAACCATAGGGAAGAAAATATTAATTTTAGATACACATTCTCTCGTCCCAACAACACAACAACAAAAAGGAAATAGAAAAAGAAATCTTTGAATTGGAACCTTTAAAATGGCAAGCACTACAAACAGCTAGACAAATCTTTGAAACAGTGAATAAATGGATCAGAACTCAAAGCAGAAAGAAATTTATTAGAGACTGATCCAAAAAAATCAGATAAACCCTCAATCAAATCTTCTGTTTCCAACACAAAACCTTCAAAAATTCATCAAGAAAAGTGCCATTTTCAGCTCCCACCAAGGCCTAAAATAACAGTCCATGATTTGAAAATTAAAATAAAAAATAAAAATTAGCCAGAAATGCACACCTTACCGTCAAAGCAAACCCAAGAACAAATACAAGGATGTGACCCACAAATCAATCTCAGCTCCTAAACCCCCTCCGCCCACAAAATTCAAATATTTTCACAAATAAGCAAAGAATTTGGTATGAAGACTAGAGTCAAAGAAGCCAAGCCACATAGGCAAAGTTGCAATATTTTTGGAGGAAAGAGAAGAGGGTAAGCAAGAGAAAGGATAGATATGAAGAATGGAAGAATTGTTGAATCCTCTCAATGGATTTGAATGGAAGAAAAATAAGTGAAAGAACTGGGAGGAGAAGAAGGAGGAGAAGGAGAAGGAGAAAGAAAACACAAGAAGAAAATTTTACTTGTGTGGGGCCCACTCTATTCGCTTGCTTGCCTCCAAAAAATATCAAAACTATATTTTTGTACTTTTATTTTCCAAGAATTTCTGATAAACAAGAAATATGTTACGTAGTATATACCATATACTTGTTACTTGCAGGGGTCGCCTATACTGTATACTGACAGCTATATACGCTAGATTTTGGGGTAATCTTTGTCCAAATACGGGGTTTTGTACGCGTCATCAATGTGCAGGGTATTTTTTAATATCATGATATTGCAAATTGGACCCTCAAGGTTTTCTAATTTTCAAGATTCGCTCACACTCTCGTCAATTCCGTGTATCATTGATATAAGATAACTTGATAATAAGGGTAGGGAACTGTTCAGAAAAGAAAAGGTATATAGACTATATCACTGTAAAGTTAATACATTAACGAATAGGAAATGAATGAATGTCCCAAAAAACTGAAAAGAAAAGTTCAAACAGAAGGAGATATATGCTTTAGTTTTTAGCTAATCTATTTTTATTAATAATCATAAAAATATCGCTTAAATTTGTTATTATTAGAACTTGGGAAAAAAATATAAATGTAAGTCTTATCATTTGTATTATTTTTTTTATAAATTACTAAAAATATAAAGTAAAAATAATACTTTTATAATTCTCAATCGTAACATACGAAAAAATATAAAATAAAAATATTTTTAAGAGTGATTGGGTTAAGTGTATGACTCTTGGAAGATGAATGCATTATGCATCCCACTAAAGTTGCCATCTTTTTTTTCTTACATCAATATCATATGCTATAGTATGAAAAGATTCATTTTGATGGGAAAAAAGGGTTATCAATAAGAGTGGAGATGAATGTTTAAGAAAAGAATACGAGAGAGAATGTAATTTCACTTGAAAATTAAAACTTTCCTGTTTAAAGGAAAGGGGGAGAGAGAGAGATAAAATTATAATAATCTATCACACTCATATTTGTTGAAGTGGATCCAACACTTAAACAAGATTTAAGTTTGAAATTCAAAAAAAGTAGCTACTTGGCTAAAGTGGGACCAACAAGGTTACTAACAGATATTTAAAGGTTTAATTGTCTACTATGAAACTTATAATAATAATAACAACAACAATAATAATAATAATAGTGTTTTCTTTTTGTTGATGATTTGAAGCTATATACGTTACCCTTTAAACAGTTAAGAATGCAATCAAACCATCTTCCATACAAAGATTAATGTAGCTTTTTTACATATATACGTAAAGACTAATGTAGTTTACCAAAGAAATAAACAATGTTAACTGGCCTTTAGAAAAAAAAATGTCTCCATAATTAATCAAGTAAAACGAAACATTTAAATAAAATACTTCTTTATATATTATTTTCTTTTTAATTTTCAAAATAAAAGTAATTTGTTAAAATAACTCTATTAATAAACTAGTGTAAGACAACAAAAAAAAAAAAAAAACTTTTTTATGTAAATATTTTAATGCGTGATCTAAAATTTAAGTTTACATACACATGACAAAGTAAACAAACATTGAGATGTACCTGAAAGTTATCACCCAGCTTAAACAAACGTTATAAAATAGAATGCATTTAAAAATGCATGCCCCCTTTTAATCACTGGAAAACTCATTGACCTTTGAGAACATGCATGTATGTTAAGCATTCAGTTTACTCGTTCGTCCTCTGCAATTTGATTATTAGTTTATTACCAAAAAATTATTTAATCGATATATAGTTAAACTATAGAATATAAATCGAGGCTTATTTAATTAAAACGCTTTTAATACTATTTTATTGCCTCTTCCATTAACTATCCACCCACTGTGGCCTTTTGAGCCTTGTACGTGCATGTAGGTCCTATATCGCCATCTAAGAATAAATATTAAATAATAATAATAATAATAATAATAATAATCTATCGAAATCTACTATTCTTCGCGTTTGAAATATATCCAAATTTGAAGGTGCCGGCGTCAATAAAGGGTTCAAGGGGTGTATTTAAATATAACACTTTCCTAATCTCATGGATTAAGAGTTTATTAAAAAATCAATAAAATGTATATATCAAAAAATGTAGCAGGAAGAGTTGCTTAATATTTATGACTTTCTTTTGGTAAATAATGATATTTTCTTTGTTTAATTGAAGAGAAAATAAAGAGAAAGGGAATAAAAATTAAAATTTTAATATTTTTCTTATTAAAATGAATTTTATTCCTGAAAAAATCAGGGTTAAAAAGTGATAATTAGAATCTCATGAGTTACAACATTCGGGAAAAAAATCCACATAAATGTAAGAAAATATATTTTTTTAAAATGCAAATAAGAGAGGGATGGACTAACAATTTATCAACAATTAATACATACACAATAACTATGGACACACTATGAAAAAATATAATTAATTAATTATTTAATATTGAATTGATTTTTATTCGTATACATTTTTCTGTCAAAAATTAAATTTTTAACATAGACATTAATTTTAAGTTTATATTAATAACATGATATATTATGGTAACAAATAGTTTTATTAGCATTGAATATTAATATATACTATCAAGTCATAAATGCTAGTATAAGGCATTAATTATTTGTTAATATAAATTTTTTTAGACAAAGCACAGTGTGTCAATAAATTTATGAAAATGGGTGGGGCCGTGGGGCATTAAAAAAATAGACACAACAAGGCAAGGAACCTTCACACGCATGAGAAAATTTAAGAGGGAGACAGTTTATTAATTTTAAAAAATATATAAATGATTATATATTATAACGGAAAATACTTTCTAAAAGAAATATAATTTAAATTGATAACGTTATACATTAAAATAATAATTTAAATATGGAGAGGAAATGGTCTATATAAAGTTAATGACACGTTCACATGGATGGCGTGTTTGAAGCGCAATTATGTAAACGTTGAGGGGTTGAATTTGAATTAAACTTGTTACATGGTCTGAAACCGAAACGAGATTTGATTCTTTGCAACGACGGTGTCGGGTGTTGCATTTACGAGGTTGCATGTCTGTTTCTTTTTCAACTTTTTGAATTTTAAAATTCCCTTTGACACTCCTTAATTGTATCCAACACCTGATTTCCCGATAAATCGTTGCGTAGAATTAGTCATTGAAAACTCAGCTATATCCGTCAATTTATGGTAGAATGTTTGAGAGGAAGAGAAAAAGGGAAAAAATTTATCATTAATTTGTGAAAAAACTGATATATTAATTTTTTGTTCATCAAGTCGTGAAATTAATTAATTATTTTTTAATTCACTTTATGTTATCAATTTGAGTCTCACTTTTAAGAGTTTGTATCAAATTTTAGATATGTTACAATTTTAGGCTATTAAAATCCTGTTCATACTCAAATCTATTTCTTATATTATAAATTTCAATAATTTAAAGATAATGTGTCTTTGTTTAAACAAGTTATTTGTTTATTTTTAAAATTTTTGAAAAATATCTCATTAATTTATTCTTACCTAGTAAAGTAAACTGGTAAAAGATTATTACTGATAAAAATATTTGCTATTTATTTATATTTAAAAATATACCAATACAGATAACTTGTTAGGGTTATACAAAGCGATAGAGTATATTACATTGACTAGTAATTAGAAAATACTTGATGTTTTTCATTTAAAAAAATAAAATTTTCATCTAAACAGAATATTTACTGAAAATGTAAATAGCGGCTGAGGAGAAAGTTGTAATTACAGAAGAGAGGAAATACGTGGAGAGTGGAGAGTGGTCCAGGTGTTATTTGTTGATTGGAAGGAATATCTGAGATTTAGGAGGCGGTGATTTGTTGTCTTGCTTGAATGATTGGGATGACACAGGTGGCGAGCCACGTGGCATTGAAGGACTATAATATCCTTGAATTATTGCAAAGAGTTTGTGAAGATAATGATATTAGATTTGAGATGGAAGAATTTAATTGGGTTTAGTGTTTTCGTGTATTGAATGGAAAGTATATAATTGCACCCATAATTGCTATTTGTGAGTGACTTCCGGCCACTCCTAAATTGTCACCTAATTTTCCATTCAATCTTATAAAATGAAATTTGTCTTTGCTCCAAAATTATACTATCAAATTGAGTGACGAAAACTATTTCATCATCATTTTTTTCTATAATATTTTAATCAATTAATTTTTAGTGAATTTTCTATATTTTTAATTGAGTTTTTATAATTTATAATTGTCAATTAAATTATGTATTTTTGAATATTTTAACAAGTTCTTCACATTTAATATCCTTATATTTCTATTAAACATCAATAACATGACATTTATAAAAAAAAAAAACACTAAATTCTTAAATTATACTGTTGTTATGTGAAAAATAATCTACCCTACATTGAGGTTCCATCTTTTAAATTATATTTATGTTTACATAGTTAATATGCAACAACTAAAATAAAATAAATTATAAAGTAAATAATTTTTTTAAAGATTTGTCGACTCTTAAAATTTATTTTTACAAAAAATTTCAAGTTTATATTCTAACTTTTTTTCAACATAATTTCAAGTTTTTATATTATTTTTTTATGAATATTCTATGATAAAACTCACGCGTAGAATTCAAATATGACAGCAACAATTCAACTTTAAAAATATTACCTAACAATAATACAATCTATGAATTTAAACTTATAAAAAGAAATTATAAAAAATTTAAAAAGAAAAATAAAAAACACGGGTTACTAAATTATACAAAATATTGCATGATAGATGCTCAATAATATAATAATAATATTCATTATTAAATATTTACTTAAAAAATTTCAATTATAAAGACTTAAAGAAACTTATAGTTTAAAAATAAATCATAATTTATAATAAGTTTTATTTACAATTAAGTCAAATAATTTTAACTGAACCACAAAGACTCTTAATAGATAAAACGTATTAAATGCTTATTGATCTATTTGGTTAACAACACCAAACATATAATTTATACAATTTAGATAATGGTATGTGTAAGTAATAAATATGTATCATCTATTTATCTATATGTACATGAATATACAGAGTTAAGAGTTTTTATTGTATTAAAAAATTTCTAAAGCTATTAAACTCGAAACATTATCATGTCAACAACGGAAAGTACATCTTCAAACATGAACAAGGGTAATAGTTGAATTTTTTATACCAAATTTTGATGGTTTCAACTATTTTCAATCTCGTTACTCTTCTAGATCTCTTTATTCTCTCTGCCCATACCAATTGTACAATATACTGTAAAATCATAGAGCTTAAATATATTATAATATATTCATGATTGAATCTTTGTATGTATATATGGACAGTTATGGATAAAGATGACTAAATAATTACAAAATGATTTTTATTTATTACAACAATCATATTATGAGAGAAACATGTCCATATAAAAAATGAATGATGAAGATGAAAACATTATAATATGGTTTTATGCAATAGTAGTAGTAGTAGTAGTTGCTACCTTCCTTCAATATTCTCCCACAGATGGAATTGGCCAATTATGATCCTATGCAATTAAAATATAAGGATATAAAGTTCATGAATAACTATAGACTATATGAAATAAATTATCTTACAAATATTATGGAAGTGAATAGGAGAGAAATTGTATTAATTATTTTTTATATTAATTTTAAAAAAATATAAATTTATTAAAATTGGAGTTTTATATGGTTTATCTTGTGAATGGATAATGAGATAAGGAAGTAGTGAGGACCTTCCTTAGCCAAACTGGACCGGCCATTGAACAAAGCAAATCCACTTGAATTATGGTGGCTACGCCAAATGCCACCATCCACTAATTAATACCCAAAAAGTTGGTGAGGAACCACCATCATCTACAATTCAACTGGGATCTCCTTCACACCAGAGGTATCCTAATTTATAAGACCAAATTATAATTTATACTAAAGTTTTTTTATTTCAATGATATGTAATATTTTTATTTTTCTTCTTTATAATTTCAAGTGATATTCTTTTTATTTCATTTATAAGTTACTTTTTTTTTGTATTCTGATTTTTTAAATTTATTTTTAATATATTCAGAAAAACTAAAAAAATATAATTTTTTAAATAAAATGTAAAGTTATATTTTAAATTGGTTTCTCTCCTATCGTGGAAGTGCAGCATTGCCCAAAATTTGGTAACCTAACAATATGCAGAAATTGAGAAATTGAGAAACTGATTATTTGGCGACAATGGTTATCTTGAAAGTGGCACCGTCACCACATGCTTCTCTGCTAAGATCCAACAACTGAAGCGAGGAATTTTGGTTATCTTGGTTTCCTCGTATCTTCTGCAATGCCATGTTCAATATATTTTTCCCCATCAGACATAGCTTTCATCTTTATATTTTTATTAATCTATATATGGACACAACTTATATATACCTTTTTTTTTTGTTTGAAAACTTTGACAACGTGTAGA